TCAATTTAGTAAAATATAGATCATGGAAAAAGTAATAAACCAGTGAATCATTAATAAAAATATCATTAAACTTGGATAATTACAATGCTTAGCTGTTTTTGCTAAGGGTATAAATGCAATTATCAACAGGTCAATGTAATGAAAAATTGTAATAACAAATGATCATATATCTGAATAAATTATATTTGTTTTATATTAAATGCATTAAAAGGTGTTGAATGTTAAATCAACATTGCACCTTATTTTTGTTTCAAATGACCAACACATTTTGCCATCCATTTCTATATGAGATACTGTGCAATTGAACTCTACCCTTAATGATTGCCAAAACTCTAATAAACAATTAATGTGTAACCTGCAAAAACTCTACTGATCAATTTCCAGGAAGCAACCATAGTCATAGAAATTATTTATCTATCTATTTGATGAACAACTAAATTTAAAAAGATTATGCATGCATATTTTTAGTTTCATCAAAAAAGGGAATGTTTTTCATCTTATAAAAATTTTGAACAAGTTTTGGTAAAATATAATCTGGGCAATGAACTCACGAAGCCAAGAATGAAAAAAAAACAAGACCCAAAATGAGACAGTAAATAAATTAGAAAATGATATGGCATCAAAAAGTGCCAACATTTGATCTAAAAAGATTTAGTATTGATGATGATAATAAATATTTGGTGCATTGCATAGAGAATATAAAGGTTAGTTTCTTGTCCATCTGTCTAATTTTTTTGATGTAATTTCACAACTAATACATATAAAAATACCAGATGAAATTACAAGGATTTGGCCCTGCTGTTGGGAAAAATAGTGAAAAAGTAATACCGTTTTTGAATAGCTGAGAATTCATGTAGAGAAGACCTTTTGATATGAAAGAGTATTCATTAGAAAGTTTTAATGGTGTACTTTTATTTTATATTAAAAACCTTCATGTGACAGAATTTCGAATTTATTTTCACATATTATTATTATTAATATTAAAATTTAAGAAATCATGGAACCATTATTTTTTTTTTTAAAAAATATATAATAGTAATAAATTATTTTTTAATAATGACCATTTCAATTATTATCTAGTGGATTGTATGTGAAATCGAAATTTGTAATTTGAATTTTCACTTATGTGAATTTCAAATTCACATATATACATGAAATTGAAATTAAAACCCCAAAGTTGAAATGTTTTGACTTGAGGCAACTACATATTAATAGTAAAAATCAACTTCGACCTTATTTTGACCAGAGTTGCAAATGGTCGAAATAGTTTCAACTTCATGCATATTCACATAAATTTCATTTTCATGCACAACAGTATTATAGACTTTTGATTTACATTATATTTGCCAATTTGCATTGGAATGGAAAAACAATTTTTCCTTAGTAAAAGTATATAATATATATATTATAAAGTTACATGAGTGGATGAGGTTTAGTTGCTTTTGCTTCTGATAATTTTTTAATTTGTGCCGGAGAAAATTTTTACTCATGTTAAGTAAAGATCTAGCATATTGACCTTCTATCAGCCATTGGATATACCTATAGACAATTTGAAAAAGGATGGAGACGGAACAAAATTTTCTAAAAAATAGGCATTGCTTTTTCTTAGATTATATTAATATTATTGATGGATCCATTAATACTAATATAAGAATGATCCAAGTAATATCTCTTTCCCAATTGTTATTTCACTGGTAAAGGTCATCAAATTTATAAAGTATATTGCTATTTATTTAGTCATTCTATAAAAATAAAAAATAATTATTATTGTGAGATCATTCTGAGTCTCGATGGTAATAATTTATTTAAATGTTAATAATGTTAATACAATAATACAATTTCTTCCAATTTATTTATACTAAATCATAAGAACAATTTCCGTGAATGTATATTTATACAAAAATTCCTTGCAATACTAAACAATATATCCTGATTACATCTCTTGGTGGGTTCCCTTCATGCTATTACTGCCTACTCAAGTCAGGTATGTTTTCCAAACTTCACCAAATAAAATTTATTAAATATTACTAAAAGAAATAAAAAAATAGGCAAATGTAAAATAAAAAAAAATTAATTATGCATGGGTTAGTATGAATTCATATAAAATTCAAAGGCATCAACAAAGAGAATATAAGGTCAAGGGCAAGCATAAGCACAAGGATAAGGATAGTCTGTTATTTATTAAATGATTATTGCTAATTTCTATGTGTATGTTAATGATATAAAAAAAAAGAAACCAAATCATTGGTTTCTGACATGCTTGTAGAATTTCTAAGGTATATAGGAAGGGTGAACATTTCTTATGGGAAATGTCTGATAAAGTAAGTGATATAAAAAAAATTAAATTTATTTTTATTATAAAAGCTGGAGAGAATCTCTTGTCTTATAGATTCTCTAAACTCCACAGCAAATCTCAAATCCTCAACCCCACCTCCTCCTTCCCTGCATATGCAACACACTGGCTCCTAATTGAAAAAAAGATGCCCTCTCCACCATCTATTTTGAATATCAAGGTTAATTATTAATATTTTTTTTAAAAAATCAATTCTTTGGTTAAAAAAGAAACTGTACCCTCTGAAATGTTCTAATTGCACCTGCTCCAAATCTCACTCCTGGCCCTGCCGCCTCCCTTACAATCCTTTGAAAAGCTGCTTCACTAATATCAAATTCCCTCCTCCTTGTCTATTATAATTTTAGTGTAAGCAATATGAAAAATATCTGAATTTAGATTTCTAAAAAAAAAACAGAAAAGCTTACAAAAAAGGTACCATTTCCTCATCAGTTCCATCATCATCGGTCACATAATCATCATCATTAGCATCTCCATCATCATTTTCAGTCTCCTCCTCAGTTTCATCATCAGATTCATCATCATCAGTATTGGCATCATCATCAATATCAACAACTTCAGTTCCAATTTTATCAGATCCATCATCCTCAGTATCAACATCATCAACAACATCAACATCGTCAGTTTCATCAGATTCACTACCAGCATCATAAAGACTAGTGCCGTAAATTATGATGATGGTAGTAATTGTATTTACAGCACATAAAAAGTGGTTGCAATTACCTTTGCGACCACTTTTGCAACCATCCTTTTTCCTTTTTTGGATTACAGCACTAGTCTTTACAGCATCATCATCATCATCAGCATCAGTATCAGCATCGGTATCAGCATTAAAATTAGCATCAATAACATCATCAGCATCACCATCCTTGGTTTTAGTTTCATCAACATCATCAACATCAAATTCAATAGCAGCATCATCATCAGATTCATCATTGTTCTATAAAATTAATAAAGTGAAATTCATAAATTGAGAAAGAATATACCATTGTTTTATTCTTTGTCTTACAAAAAATACATTTATTAATTTCAACCCCAAGTTCCCATCAGATGCAAGTAAATCTTATCAGACTGCACCCACAAATCCTTTAATTGAACTATAAAAGGTGGGTTGCAGATGTTTCCCCAACAAGACGTTTTCCACATTTTATCAGACTATCATAATATTTCCTGCCATAGATGACATTATCATTATCAAGAAATGAAATATGTCAGCCAATTAGCCAACTAATCTGTTAAGTCATTTATTAGCTGGTTAATCTGTTAAACCATTTAGTTGTCATGGAAACAGTGTTGGGAATTATGCTAAACCCCTCCAGTTATTATAATGTCATCTCTATACCTAACCATAGCCCTAACGTTAATTATAAATTAAATATTCCGAAACCATCCAGACAGAACTTGGGGGAAATTAACAAATTCCAAAAAAAAACAAGTTCATTAAATAAAATAAATAGCTTTCTGGCCCAAATGGAATCTCATTACTTACTATCCTTCTTCTCTTTGCTTCCCTATAAAAAATAAATACATTTTATATTAACATACAAACTAAAAATTTCTCCATTTTTTTTAATGTAACTAGAGTGATGATAACCACCATTCTTTTTAATGAATGACACTTACTCAGATCTTTCGACTCGACCATCTTCTTGAGTTCTTTTGTTTTGTACTTTCTTAATTGGTGGCATTTTTAAAATTGTATATAATGTAAAATGTAAAAACAAACGCATATAAGATTCATTGGTGTTAACCACCATTCTTGCTTCTTTTGTCTTGATTGTTTTTTTGTATTTTTTAAATGGAAAGAATGTGTTTAATAATAAAAAAAAAAAAAACTTGTGTAATATTATAAGGGTAGTTTGGTTACACACCACATATGATATATAACAAATCACAAGACCACGGTTTTAAGGTAAAACTTCTTGTAAAATTATACTTTGCATATATACTCTCTAGGATTAAAGCTATTGAACAGTGTGCTTTTGATAACTTTTTGTTAGTAAAGTTTTACTAAAAAGGTAATGTGAAGTTCAACATATGTTATGAATTCTATAAGTAAAGTTACAAATGTTATTGTTAAATTAGCGAAAACTGAATGAACAGCCTTAAGTTAATCTTAATAACTATTGATTTATTAAAAGAAAAACTAGAATTTTATAAGAAGACAAGGTTATACTAATAATATTTCATTTTATATTATATGTATGTATGTGTGTATGTATATATATATAGTAATAAATAGAAACAAGACTACCTTGACATGAATCATTACTAGCTTTTAACATCAACTACAAACTCTTTACATGAGCAACCAATTTAGTAGGAAACATTTTTTTGGAATGGTGATATATTCAAGTTGCAATATATTATTAATTTTTTTAAATTCACAATTTATCCCAACAATAAAGTTACCCCACTCATTTGTTGGCTCTCATTCATTAATTCATTCATTCGCCTAAGCTCAAGATCCTGTAAAAAGCTTGGACATATCAAGTATTTATGTGGCATGATTTGTAAAATATAAAAATAAGAGAAGTATTACTTTATTATTTATTGATTTGTCAATTGTATAAAAAAGCACTTATCAATTTAGTAAAATATAGATCATGGAAAAAGTAATAAACCAGTGAATCATTAATAAAAATATCATTAAACTTGGATAATTACAATGCTTAGCTGTTTTTGTTAAGGGTATAAATGCAATTATCAACAGGTCAATGTAATGAAAAATTGTAATAACAAATGGTCATATATCTGAATAAATTATTTATATTAAATGCATTAAAAGGTGTTGTATGTTAAATCAAAAATGCACCTTATTTTTGTTTCAAATGACCAACACATTTTGCCATCCATTTCCATATGAGATACTGTGTAACTGAACTCTACCCTTAACGACTGCCAAAACTCTAATAAACAATTAATCTGGAACCTGCAAAAACTCTACTAATCAATTTCTGGGAGAGTTTTGGTAAGCAACCATAGTCACACAAAATAAAAAATCTCTCAAATAATTAGAATTTTATTACTGTAAAGAATGTAATCACAACTTATTACTTTTTCAATACCTTGAGGAAGTAATCAATATAAAAAAGACTTTGATATTTTACCTGACAAATCAAATGGATATAATCACTTGGTATCTGCATTGCTTGTAAGAGCTCTCAATCTAATATACATATCAATGAATTGAAAATAACTTAACTAAAAAACTTGTCATAATCATTTGTTGAATTGTAAATTTTTTCAAAATAACTTCTCAAATGGGGATACTACAATTGAAAATGAACTTATAACAATGGCAAAAGTTATATTAATACATCATCTAAAGGGGTAAATAATTTACAAAAGTTTTCTGCTTCAAATAAAAAAAATTTTTGTATATGAATTTTAGAGTAAGGTAAAATAATAACTTTATTTAAATATCATTAATAGATATTAATACAAATAGAAAGTCCAACATAAAAAATATTCAATTGTATCTATAAATGCTGAAATATGATTGACTACCCCTTAGGATTGGTCCAGAATCCAATTGATTTATTGGGCTGATTATCAACAGGTCAATGTAATGGATACTTGATTTGAAGATCATTACACAATTCGAAAACAAAATAAATTTATCAAAGGAAATTTTAATTTGAATGGAATCAAATGAATTTCAAGTTAATGTAAGAATATATATGCACACTTAGGTGGTAGAAGTAGCCATCATAAAATCATCATATCTATTGTGCATTTAATATTAACAATAAATCTACATTTGTTACAAAATGTTAATAACAATGATCTATTATTTATATAGACATTCTTTACTTAACATAGTTAATTGGAGCAATATGAATTAATAACATAATGATATCTTTATATTGGATAAAAGAAAATAACAATTAACACTCAAATAATTAAACCAATACCCAAAACTATTTGTTGGTAAAATCGTCCATTCAACCTGGTCAACATATACACATAAAACAATTTTGTTATCAATCACCTTTTTTAAAAAAATTTTTAGCAACTAAATTATATATATATATGCATTGATGACCATTGTAATAATTAAATATTATCAAACCTCCTGCATATGTGTTTAAATAACTTTTGCTAATAAATAAAATATTATCCAAGAATTTAGTATATCAAGTTTATATAACCAAAACTTGATCACAATACAAAGAAATAAATAATAATATTTACAAGTGAGAGTATATCTTCCATTATCACAGATAGCCTTTCTCTCAATAATCCACTATTATTACTGTTGTTGTTGTTATTTAAAAGATTTAATGAATGATTGAAATTAAATGCTTACCGCTGGTTAGTTCTAAATCACCATCTAATAATAACTATGATTGTTGCAATCAAAAAGGATGAACAAGAAGGTATAACGTTAATATCTGTTATGCTTATCATTATAAATGCTTGGAATTTTATAAAAAAGCATTGTCCCAAATGTAAATCCTATATAATGATAAATAGATTAGAAAGGATAATGGTTAAATATTAAAAAAAAAATGATGACAGAGGCCTTAAACTTTTGTTTCTAATAAATTTTGACCATTTGTGAATAATAATAATAATAAAAATAATCTATAAAAAAGTAAAAAAATAAAAAGTTGCCAAGTTGACAGGTCTAAATAGATCACAGGAACTTTAAACTTTGTTTCTAATACAACCTATTGAAATCCACTTGATTGGCTTTAGCTTGTCCCCCATAATCAAATATCAAATGTTGCAATGTTGCAACAATCCATTTCTTTTGTTGCAACAAAACTGTTAAAGGTTTAATCATCTAGTTCTCTGTTTCCTTGAAATTCTTAATTTGTTCTAATTAAATGTTTTCCTTAAAAACAAACATGACCTTCCTTTTAAGAATAATTACAGGTTTTTTTTAATGATTTGATTTCAGAATTAAAGAAAAATTCTTGCTTGATAATTTCCATGAGTTAATTTATTTTATTGATTTATTACATTGATTACATTTTATCAAATTGAACTAACTGGCTTGAATTTTTGATCAGTATTTCAGTGTTTTCCGATTTTATTTTCTAAATTAAAATTGTTTTTGATTTATTTATTGATTCCCGTGATCCTTAAAAAATTATTTTACAGTGCACCTATCAAAACCATTTGTTCCCAAAGACAACTCTTTTTAAAATTATATAGAATTCATATGGTGTATATATATTTGAATTAGATTTGAACCAAATCAAATCAAATCATTTATAGATGCACAATTCACATTCAATTTGAATGAAAAAAATCAAAAATTTAGGTGATTTAAATTTCAGTGATTCATTCAGAACCTTGCTTTCAATACTAATAGCAGAGAATTGAATTCATCATCCTGAATTTTAGACATTACAAATAGCATACTTTTCTGGTATTAATAATTCATATTTTTAAATAGTTTATTTAATATCAATTTAAAATAAATACATAAGTATAATTAATAAATACAATAAAATCATCATCAATCCTTTTCCTTTACTATAAGCAAACAATAAATGATGTTATTAGTATAACAATTAATGTATAGTAACTTCCAATTGATTAATAACGAAATTTTTATTCACCTTATCAAAATCATCATTTAAAAGAAGAGAGTTGAAACCAAAATCATTTAATGAATTGTCATTACTTGTATAGCCTTTTAAGCCTTTTGATTTAGTTATTTCGTCATCTAATATTCTGCTTGTATGATATGCGTCTGGATGTGATTTGTATGTTTGTTGTGAATCACTACTACTACCAATACTACTATTATCATTTTTATCATTATTAAGAATTTCTCTGTGTTTATTTTTAGCAAAAATAAAAAGTTCTCCAATAGTTGGTCTTTTAGATGAATCCACATCCCAACATTTCTGCATCATTAGTGCATAATCATCAGGCATTCCTGGTAATATTGGTGGTCGTAAACCTTCACATATATCACAGATTAAATGGTGATTATGAGCTCTATTGTCAAATGGTGGATGGCCTGCAAATATTTCCCACATTAACATTCCAACACTATAAATATCAGTTTCTTTTGTGTTTTTTATATTAGTTTTGCCTTTAAGTAGCTCAGGTGCAATGTATGATATTATTCCATATATTTTATTTGATGATTTTTCATCAACTGGTCCACATAATCCTAAATC